GACTTGCTGTCTCCTCCATGTTGTGTACGTGGCACTGAAAAATATATGTTTGTGTAGGGTCATGATGGCCAGTTATTAGGTAGAACAATAATTTGGCCTCAGAACTCCCCAGGACAGGGAGGGCCAAGAGTCCCGAGAAGGTAACGGGTGGGAATCGTCATTCAAAATGTTATTTACCATGCAGCGTACAGGCAGAAACAGACAACGCGGAATAGTTCCATTAGGTCACGCAGCAAGCCAATGACGGAGTGCGACGAGCCACAGTTCTGATGGCACCTCCCTTCTTCCTTCTGACCGTTCAGCCACCTCTTGCCGTTTCACGTATTTGTCAAAATACAACTGATGAGGGCAAGAAAGCCGGGGTCTGGGGAAGCCTACGAATAGGCTGCTATAAAGCAGGGAAACCATTTTTTCCTCGCTGGCCATGAGGAAACCCTGTATTAAAGTGACTGAGCTTGTCCTTTAGTGGCTCTCCTGCAGGTCTCACTCACGTGCTGCAATGACCCTGGACAGGCTCAGACCAGTGTGAGAACTAAAACTATAAACGTGGATAGAAAGGGGGGTGAGCATACTTCATAGGAAGAAAAAAACTGGTCATGGGGCCTTCTTTTGGTTGGGTTCTTTTGCCTTGGGGGGAGGTCTGATGCGCTACAGCAGCTTTGCAAGCCTGTCGGATAAACCAAATGATGGGAGTAAAGCACCTTCGCTGTTGAAACTTCCTTTCCCCGTGTTAAGTGAAACCAGACAGCAGTGCTGGCTCACTCCTTCAGCTTCACACTTTTCGACACGTGAGATACAGTTGTCATAAGAGCCCACTGTGTCTGCAGTTTCAGGATTAGCTGGAAGGAAGACTAGGAATAAAGGCTGGCTGTTGCCAGACATGTAAATTGCAGGGCTGAGAGCTCAGCCATTTGCCAGGCACGTTCCCAAGCTCTGTCAGTTTCCAGGGAGAAGGAACTTCCAGCTTCACCTCTGTCCTGTCCCTCCCTCTTCTGCTGAGCTCCCCATCTATTGGTCCCTTTCCTGCAGCTTGACACTGGAGACAGAGCCTCCAGGACTTGGGTCTCCTTCTGGCTTGGCCATCCCAGGGTCAGTCGGCTCTGGCAGTGGAGGGCTCCCGCTGATCTTTTGGCTACGGAAGGATGACTGGGTAGGCAGCACAAGGCTTACCCTAAGTTCTCAGGTAAGACTACAGGAGACTGTCAATATTCAACCATTCTGACCTTCAAAAATGGTGATTTCATATAGTTCAGCTTAAACTTTCAATAAAGGAAAAGAAAGGCAAGAAACTGAAGCCCAGATAATTTACTGCCTGCATTAGGAAGCAGAATGCTTTCCAGAACATTAGTCTCCCCCTTCATTTTTAGTCTTACCTGAATTGCGTCCCCCCCTAAAAAGGTAAGTTGAAGTCCTAATGTCCAGTACCACATAATGTGACCTTATTTGGAAACACAGTCTTTACAGAGGTAATTGAGTTAAAATGAGGTCATTCAAGTGGGCCCTACCAATATGACTAGTGTCCCCTGTATTTTTTTCTTTCTTTTTTGCTCTCCCCCTCCCCTTGTGTCCCTATAAAAACGGGACATTTGGACACAGAGACAAATATGCACAGAGGGAAGATGATGTGAAGACACACAGAGAGGATGACATGTGAAGATGGAGGGCTGGAGTGATGTGGCTACAAGCCAAGGAATGCTTGAAGCTACCAGCAGCTAGGAGAGAGGCATGGACCAGCTCCTTCCTTAGCACCTTCAGAGACAGAACAGCTTTGCTGACACCTTGATTTTGGACCTCTGGCCTCCAGAACCGTGAGACAATAAGTTGATGTTGGTTTAAACCACTCGGTTTGTGGTGCTTTGTCACAACAGCCTTAGGGAACTAATTCAGCCTCCTTCCAGTGACAGCTATGCTGCAGGGAAGACGCGACAGCCCACGTTAGAAATGGCACAGTAGTTTAATATCTAGAATCCCAGACAACTGATGTGAGGTATCCATTCCTACAGGAACTGGTTGTGTCTCCTACTCTGACCAAAAAGATTTATTTGTTTAGATACAACGAAGCTAGCTTTGTAACTTACAATGTGTATGTATATGCACACACACACACATATGTACACACACCTACGTATTTACTCCTTCATTTGGTTTTCTAGCATTTCCAAGTTTGCAGTAAAAGTTTCAACACAAATTTTTTCTCCAGGGAGGGGGGAGGCGGGGATGGGTATATTCACACCTAACGGGTGCGGTGTGCACCGTCTGGGGGATGGACACGCTTGAAGCTCTGACTTGGGTGGGGCAAAGGCAATATATGTAACCTAAATATTTTTACCTCTGTTATATGATGAAATTTTAAAAAGATTAAACGAAATTATTAAAATTTTTTTTTCTCCAGTCTGTAGTGGGACAGACATCATGCCTGTGCAACTGTAAGTAGCCCGTTCAAATCTCAGGAGAACCAAAACACATATCCTAAGGAGACACGAAGAATTGCTGATACTCTCACTGTTTCTGTGCTAAAAAGTTTAGAAGGTGGAAACTGAGTTCCTAGAATTGTATTCAGAAGACTGCTTAGGAAGGTCAGCAGGCTTCTCCCTACAGGGGATTCAGCAGTGGGTGAGCAGAGTAGGAGAGGAGACAACTGCTTCTTCCGGAGGGGGACAGCCTTATGCAGAATGGTGTGGAATCCACCAGCAGCTCTTTTATGTCAGACTTTTATCAGGATCCAGCTTTATAAATAAGCCTAAACAAACAAAATAACAGAAGACGATTATAAGTCAACTGACTTCAATCTGATGGAACTCTAAATAGACATATCCAAAGGAAGGCATTTAGATTCATATTTGTACCTTCAGTCTATCTGCCCACTGTCACCTTTCAGCTAAATTAAGAATCAACTTTTGACTATGGCAACACTGTATTACCTCCCCCTGGGTAACCAGGTCCTCACTGCTTGGCCATTTCACGGTTCATTACCGCTTCCATCAGAGATCGTCAGGGAAATGAAAAGAAGTGAAATTACAACTGAGCCATCTGGCACCTTTATGATACTGAAAGGTTTAGTAAGACAGGAAGTACAAACTATAGCCTGGAATGGAATTCTTAAATTGCCTGCGGACTCGAATTATCTTCTTCCCGCGCCTTTTATCCATCATTCCTGCGAACAGCTGATACTCGGGAGAAAAACCAATTTCTTAAACAAAAAGCATTAACCATAAAGGGAAAAATCTAATAAATGTGACTACGTTAACATTAAAAACTTCTGTTAATAAAAAAGATAACTTAAAGCAAATAAAAGACAATTTATATGCTGCAAGGAGATATGTGCAACTTATATGTCCAATAAAAGAATCAGTCTAATGTAAAATATGTAAGGAACTCCTATAAATCAGTAAGAAAATGAAAAAAAAATAGAACAAGCTGAACAAACAAGAATTTCACAGAAAAAGAAACAAACATAGTCAATATATATATGAAGAGATAGTCAAATCTTCAGGGAGTATCTCAGCGTGATCAGGGAAATGCAGATCAACATTACACTGAGATACCATTTTATAACCATTTGATTGGCAAAAATCAAAAAGTCTGACTTTACTAGTTGCTAGAGAATCAAAAGAATCTCATATATTGCTGGTGGGAGTGTAATCTGGTACAGCTTTAGAAAGCAATCTGGCATTATTCCCCTCTAAAGCTGAACACTCACATACCCTACAATCCAGAAATTCTACTCCTAAGTATATGCCAAGCTCTTGCCTACGCAGGCCACCAGGAGATGTGAACAAGAATGTTTGTGGGCCGGGCGCGGTGGCTCACGCCTGTAATCCTAGCT